GGAATTATCAATCAAAATGTTTTAAAGAGAAAGTTTGCGCTTTTCTTTCTGAATTATATCAACTGATGTCGAAACTCGAAAGGGAATTAAAGAAATGGATGCGAAGCTTTATCTTAAAGCAGATCACCGCTAAAATCTGCTTTCGCATTGAATTTATTTAGTTTAAAGGCGCTTTTTTCCTAAGATCTGCGTGCATTTGGTATTAGTGTTTAATAAATATAAAGGCAAATAAAGCGAAACGCTCCGCTTTTTCCAATTTCAATTTAAGGTTAGAAACCTCAATATTTTCTCGACACAAAACTAAAATGTACAAAGCGATTGTTTCGATTTAAAATTATCAGTAAATATATTTCTGAGTACCAGAAGTGAGACTGAAGAACAGTTTATAAAAATGGTAATTTAAGATACATTCTTCATCGACAAGGCGTGGTCGATTTGTTGGGGACTCGAAGTTACCCTCATAAAATTCCTTCCTAATAAAATATTACTACTCTAAGGAGATGATCCGAAATAAATATTGTTTTGCGAAGAAATGATGAATCTGCTAGGCAGAAAATTTGCAAAAAATGCCCAATTCTCGCAGCAAGAATTATTTCCGAATTTTGCTACTCTGTTTTTTTTTGTCTGGATGAAAGCTGATCTTCCGAATATAAAATCTGGTTTTAACAAGACTCTAAGACATGTCCGTGAGCATCTGAAGTAAAAACTTCCACGCAAAGGGCCAAAGAGGACCCTTTATGACCTCCGACATATCCGGATTTAACACATATGAACTCCTGCTTATTCTGGAACAGCTACTTGAAACCCAAAGCTTTTAAGGCCAAACATCAAAACATTGAGGACCCATAAAAACTATTGTATAAAATATATATAAGCTAGTGTACGCTTGCAGATCAAAAGATATTAAAAATTCCACAAAAAATGCCTGAATATCCTAAATTAACTAAATGACAATATTCTAAACGGAACGGAAAAATAAATTTCAGGCAATAGCCGATGATATCAGATCTCCAAATTTAAACACGCTGTATACAATTTTCTTACTCAAAACAATCCGTAATTTTAATTTAATAGACAATGTCTGACAATATTGTCAGAAAACTCCATTTTTGATTTACCGAATTTATTAAAACTTAGAGTTTCGCTCTGTATAAATGTATAAAACTCTCCTCCTGTGTAAATGTATGAAACATTTTTATTTAACGAAACTGCTGATTTATGGGGAAACTGTGCGAGTCCCATTAGCAATCAAAATTGTGTTTAGCTTTTTCTATAAAATAGTATAGTGAGTCACAAAAAATTAACATTAGTGTATCCAGAAAAATAAATTAAATTATGTAATCGATTTCTGGATAGATTTATTAAATAAAGTTGTTGGAAAGGCAATAAGTGCTAGTTTATTGGATTATAGGCACGAATATCTACCACAGGCAGTTTCATTTTATGTTAAGCTTTTCCAAAGTATTTAGTGATGAAAATACCAGTTTTCAACGTTTTCAAGTTATTTTAAGAAGCAAAGCGCGTGGCTAAATTTTCATCCAAAAATACACAAAATTGTAAATTTACATATTTAATTTAATAAATTTACGAAAATACTACGAATCTATTACAATCTAATTTTTCCACTAGGCGAAAATAATTATCAACAGAAAGCCCAAAATTAAATTGATTGAAAACCGGCTCGTATAGCACGAAAACGTATTTGTTCAAATTCGGAAAAAAACACAGAATCCATATTAAATGAAACATTCTGGTTTCAAATTCAATAAGATTAAGTAGCGATTTCGCAGCCCCTTAATGCTTTCAGTTCACTAACCCGTCTGATGTTTGCAATTTTTTTTATTCAAAAACATAAAAATTATTTTTACATTCACGAGTGGTGTGTTTCGATGGAAAAAGGTGTGTATAATTAAACTAGAACATCGTATAAATGGCTGAAGTTGCGAATTTGCCAAATTATAAATTGCTTTAGTTCAAACAAAACGGGGTCAATGAAATTCAGTTCAATTAGATCGTCTGCCTGATGGTTGGCTTTGAAGCCATTGATTTAATCAATGAGGCCAACAATCGCTTTAAAGTCGATTTTTTAATTTGTTTTAAATGCTGATTCCTTTCATCGACTTAATCATGCCATAATAAAGGAGAATTTTATTTGAAAGATAATCTTTAAAGCCGTTTTTACTTCAGTTAATCCATCTTAACAGAGGTGCTCTGTATAAAGAAATCCTGTAGCAATTTCCAAGTTTATTTCACAAATCTGCGGCAACTTTAATTTTAGTACCCTCAAAGATTACTGGTCAGGTTTAGTTGCTTAACATCATCAAGACAATTTTATGATTTTTTTTCGAGGAACAACAGAAACTAGAAAACTCTTCAGATCTTCAATGTTTCAAAACAAAAAAAATTATAGGCATAAATACATAAATATTATATAAATATGTTGATACAATTTAAGCCGGTAAATTTAAAGGCAACAATATATAAATTAAACAGGTAGAAATTCGAAAAGCATGCTAAATCGGGCAATCAAATGGCCACCAACATTGCCAGACTTAAATCACTTGGACTTTTACTTTCGAAGAGGAATGAGCACTTTACATAGCTTACATTACACAGGCAAAGTGACGTCAATAGTTATTATCCCGGCCAATTAGCGCTATACATGTTTGTTATTAATTTGCTATTAATTAAATAATTTTTAAATTTAAAGAGCCAAATTTCGCAATTAATAAAATTTTGCTGGAGCATTTTAATACAAAAAATGAATGAGTTTCATGAATTTGTTGTAAAAATAAAAGAAATTATTGGGTTTTAATGTGAAGACCTCTGTGCTAACAAATTACAAGGTTAAAATTTCAAATCCAGTTAAATAAGTGGACGAGTTCAAATTCGAGGGTTCCTTTTAAGAGAGTTGGTAACAACATAAGAATTTCGATAAAGCATCGTTTTAGTTGGGATTTACGTTGTAATAAGCAAAGCAACCTCTGCGTTAAGGCAAAGAATATTCAACAAGAAGAAGAAGTTGGTGTGTACACACTGGATGAAAATCAATCAAACAGTATTACATTTACATCAAACTTGTTTGATTGATTGAAAGAATATTCAATCATTTTGCTGCGAGACAAAATTTGCTATGATTTATTAAGATAAGTTAAAAATGATCAAATATTCAATATCTTAAACTGTTCTTTCCTATCGTTGGTATTTTTATTAAACAAGAATACCTAAATATTGCATTAATCCTAGGAAATTTTTATATCGACAATGATGTAGATAAATGGGAATAATGTCAAACAAAATTATTTCAACAATAAACGTTCAATAAAGTAAAACTATAAATATTATTTACAAAAAATAAGCTTACAGAAAGACCATTCTATAACGAAGAGCAGTAGAAAAATTAAGTAACTGTTCCAAAGGTCCCCGATCTGTTTCTTCTATAAAAATTGAATTGTGAATAAGCAAACAAATAATTGTAAAAAAATATTTCTTATTGTCTTGCTTTCTGGTTATAAACATGCTGATCGCCGTATTTGGTACTAGTGTTTTATTTTACTTAATACACATGAAAATCATCTCACAAATAAAATAATTATTACCGAACCAAACAATTATTTTATAGAGAGGATTTAGTGCATTTGCATCAATCATTATTGCAGTTAGGTCAGAAATTTAATATTCTTAGCAGATACAATGTTAAACATATTTTGTTTTCCTATTAAATTAAAGCAAATTGAACAACAGTAATATAAAGACAGAAGACAGAGCTCTGAAACGTAGGAATAATCATATACAAAAAAAGGGAACAAATTTCGTTTCATCATTCCTGTGTTGCAAACCCGGTAAGATCTTTATTCAAGACTTGTTAAAGCTTGTAGTAATTTGTTAATAACGAAAACAAACGACTTTTCAAACCAAAACATACCTGAGATAAGTTTCAGTCATACCCCGACTAGTTGCAATCGAATAAAGTCCCGACCAAACACCGATTAATTTCAGTAATCCCCCTGGAACACGTCTTGAGCTCGACCTTTCCTGGACCAAGTTTTCCGAACTAAGTTTTGCGCGGCCGTTGCCTTGCGATTTTATCCTGCGTTGGAATAACGCCAACGCTCTTATCCTAGTTTTAAAAAAAGTGTTAACAGAAAGCGCGTGAGTTACAGGATTAGTTGAAAGATTTGCTAATATACGAAACCAGAATTAAACAGATGCAATAAGTTGGCGTTTAACTTGCGATAAATACATTCATTAAGGTCATTGGGGATTAGAATATTGGACCTGTTTTTCCTGATCTAAGTAACGAGGGTTTGTAATAACATACGAAAATTAATTGGAGTTTGCAAGCGTCGCTTGATACTTGTTCCAAAGAAAATTAATTCCATACACTTATAATGCACATACTAGTAGCTACTTCTAAAACTAGCCACTCAAAAAAAAAAAAAAATTCTTAAAATACAAGCGCAAATTAAACGTGGAATATAATGAGAAATTGAGTCGAATGATCAAAGGCAAGATGTGTTGATGTTACAAGTACATGAAAATATGTTCCAATAAAATGCATTTTCAATGCACTTGCAACGTCAACACACTTCATGACACTGGATGGTTTCTATTTATATCGCCATGTAATACTGAATGTTTAGCTAGCTAGTTGAAAGAAAGTTGATTCTTTTGCATTGAAGCCCTATTTACAAGAAAAGGTTTTGCAATTAGATTGACAACAAATTTACAGACAAATTGCTTCATTCAATTTTATTTTATAATTTAATAATAAACAGTTGGACAGAATGGAATTATTTACTTTCGAAAAATAATTTTTTTTTCGCTTTAGATATGTTCTTGGATTGAATTCCTTGCACCACCTTGATTAATCAACATAATTAGGCCACCTTATTTAAATAATCCTAACAAATTTGTTTTGTTATGCCACTCAAAAAACAATTTTTCGAATATTACATAAACAAAACGTGCAAAAGTTGCATTTTTTCTGGGTCATCAATGTTCAATCTAAGTCGAAATCGACTGACTGTAGTTAAACAGTTGGGTATTGATAGGCTAGAGATATGTGTTAGAAGTACAATAGTGCAAAATGGTAAGTACTGAAGGTGTTGCCATATGAAACCAATTAATCTTTTTTAAACTGCCGTTATTTTTCTCCAAGCTACAATAAATAATTTTTCAACCAATTTTTGATCAAATATTGCGAGGCTTTCATTGTTTTTCCATATAATAAACATAAATAACGTAACAAGGCGCAGAATAAGTATGCCCATATGTGGCAAGTAGATACGAATTAATGCCAAATAATCTGCAAAATGCTATTAAAAATATAAAAATCTAAGGCTTTTTCAATTGAAAATTGATTCATTGATATTTTCAGAAAATCTATCCACAATTTATCTTATGGAGCTACGTTGCCTTGCCAGCATTATGCATATTGCTGTCACCAACTCTTCTTCTGAGCCTAGCAAAGGCTCAGCAAGCCAGAGCCAGAGCGATGACAAATGCTGTGCAACTCAAATCGAGGGCAGCAGCTGCTCTAGCTAGAAACCAAGCACGAAATAACCAAAGAAGATTCGCTCCTGCTGGTAGATACGCGAATGGCTTTTCTCCAATGCCATTGCATAACAGGAATACGAGAGATTTAAAGGAGCCCAGGGTATTGTTGGTTCACTTGTTAAATTAATCCAAGGGTTTATATCAATTTTTCGATATAGATCGCCTCTGGAATTGATCGTGAAAGTGCTCAAAGAAAATCTCATTGGGATCAGCAAGAAGAGGCAATGGGCATGTTGCAAAATATGTGGAATATGAACGCATTAAATAATATGCAAAGTAATGCTCCCATAACAACCGCTAATGGGTAAGCACTTTTTTAGATTTTGAAACTCAAGTTCGTAGCGGCAATGAACTAAATCACTTCGTTTCTTGAACGACAAAGAATTAACAATTGAGTTATAATAACGATAATATTATTTTACACAACATAGGCCTGAAGTCTTAAATCCAGTTGGCGAAATGGTAGGCAGCGCTCGAACTTATCCTGGACCATTCTTTGGTAGAAATATTTATGATGAAACTCTTGGAGCAGAGAATCCCAGAGAAATGGAAGACTACGATCTACATGACGAGTGAGTAAAGCGTTTAGTGTGATTATCAGTGAGAATTTTTTTAAAACTTGCTCCATTCAGAAACAATAGCGCTGAACTTGAAGACGATTCATTTGCTATAATTAATGGCGAACGAACTCATCGCAGGAAAAAGAAGAAGCATGATTCCGATGAAGACTACTCATATAATTACTATAATGATTACTATCGAAACGTTAACCAAAATGGCGATCGGCAAATTGTCGAACAAGTTGGGTGAGTATTTGCTGGTATTAAAAAATGGTCGAAATGAAGAGAAATTTATGGACAAAAATGAAAGCAAATTATGAGAAAACCGAATTGGCTCTGAGAGATATTTTCGCGATTAGTACCTACTAAGATCTCGTTTCATTATCTCAAAATTAATGCAGATGCACCTGATTGAAAGAAAGATTCAAATTGAATTAACAATTTAGATAATTTGTAGGTATATTTAAAATACCGTAGTACCTAGAAAAATGTGGTTGCCCGTTGGTGACTAATTACTTAAATAAAGTAAAAATACTGCTAAGAAATTAATACTTTAAAAAGCTAACAAAGTCATTGACTTCATTTAGAAATTATTACGTTCTATTTTAGTGACCAATTGCCAGAATTACCTGCTGTGCAAATGAGTGAGCCAAGACATAACAAAAAGTATAAAAAAAATAAGAAGGATCACAATTATCAAACTTACTATCCTAATCATCTTTACTATGCTAATAATTACTATCCAAGCCAATATTATGGCCGAACTAATGAAAGAGGAGCTGCTGACACAATTGAACTTCAGGTACGTTAAAACTTTTATAAGTTGTGCAGCTTTAATGAGCAAAAGAAAACAAGTAAATTGACTCAAAAATCCAACATAGACGATCAACTTTGCGTTAATATAATAATAAAAATAACTGTGCCCGTCATTTTCACGAACTCCAAGTACGAGTTTTAAGGCGAAGAGTGTTATTACAGTTAAAAAGGGTATGTTTTGTATATCTAGAAAGTGATACCGGCTGAACAGACCCTGAGCAGGCCTACTAATCCACCATTTAATATTCCAATGCCACAACCGAAGTTACCTCAAAATCAAGAGAAGTTTGCACTATTAAGGTACCTAAAAGGCAATTGTTGACATCATTTATAATAATATTACTAGCAATATATAAATTTGCGGAAGTGAAAACTATTTATTGGATTGTAGGCAATATTCTCCAGAACATGCTGGTGATACCAGAAACAGAAACCAGATGCAGTTAGACCATTCACCTCTAAATATACCCGAGGTAACAAACATCTTTCCTTCACTAGAATGTGTCCTCATTGCTTGAAATACTTTAATTGTTTTGTAGAAAGGAACTCCAGATGTTCCACAGACCACTCACAAATTCCTATCAAATGGGTGAGTTTCTAATTAAGTCCACAAAAATTTTGAAACTTTACTTTACTTTTACTGTCTTGTTTAATTAACTGTTCGGTTTCCAGAGAGCCATATCCACACTTAAGCCTTCTACCAGCACCAGCAATTTTCAATCAACGGAAACAAGTAAGTCATTCATGAACATTTTTAAACACTGAAAAAACCTTTTTCATGTTTTTCCAGAAAAGTTTGAATGAACAAGTAACCGACCAAACCGGCGGTCCAGGCCTTCCACCACACAAATTCGAGAAAGTTGGGTAAATATTTAATTCCTGACCCAAACTAACTTCCAGCCAATTTCATATCTATTTAACTGAAGAAGCTAATAGTAAATTGTCCATAGCTGCGAACATGATGATGAAATATTCGGCCCGAAACCTGAATACGGACGTAATCATCAAGGCTACCAGGATGATTCAAATCTGAATTACCAAAGGGCAGTGGAAACAATGAACCAAAAAGTTTTGGAATCAACAATTCAATTAAATGATCATGGGCCAATAATCAACCCAAATCAACTGACGCGTGACGAACCGAGCTTTATTGCGGAGCAAATTAGACCGATGCCAGATCTTCCTCATTCTGAAGCTCAAGTAGACTACAAGGATTTAAACGAAAATTTCAATAGAGAACCTGCTGCATACCATCAAGAGGGAGTCGGCACCAATCAGCAAATTAGGTACTTCTTAATTATTTTTCCTGTTGCAATTTTCTTGGTGATATTTGATAACATCTGTGAAGCACAATACAATTTTTTAGTCTAAATCCAACAAGCCAAGGACCCGATGAGGCGTCAATGCGTGCTGCCGATCCTCATCATCACAAGCACTTTCCACATTCTCATGCATTCACTCACGTCCACTACAAATACGACAGCCCAGTGGTTCCACCTCCAGTTTACAACCCTAATCCGCCTTATTATTCTCCTCTTCCTCCTCACAATTTTGGACCTTCAAATGCCTTTTCGCAAGCCAATGCCCATTCGCAAAGCATTTCACAAGGATCTGTAATTCCTGTAACTGAATTTGGACACTCTGGAGCATTTAGTCATTCAGGAGCGCATGGGACCACTGCTATTAACTTCAATAAATTTGGACACACACCGAATGGAGGCTACGTTCCAGTAACAAATACTGGATTTGGTGGTGTGTCTTCTGGATCATCAGCAACTGCCCAATCTCAAGCCGGTACTCAATCATTTAGCAACGGATTTGCACAGTCACTAGCTCAAACTACCGCTCAAGCCACTGCTCAAGCAACTGCTCAAGCTTCTGCACAGGCTGCAGCGGGTGTAAATACAGGATCGCGCTTATTTGAGGTACTGTTCATGAACATGTTCATCATGTTCATCTAGTTAGTAATTTTTGGATTTCTCTTAAATTATAGAGCCCACTTCGTTCCAGTGATGCATTGAATCATTATGAAGAAGAAGCAAGAGCTGCATGGGACCGAGACCAATTAAATGCTGAAAGGCTAAGATTTTCAAGATCTTCAAACTCCGGTCCCGACGACCTGGACGGTCATAGCTTGCAGTTCAAAGAAACGACGGCAGTAAATGATGGTATCGGTCCGAACAAAGCCAATTTGTTTGAAACCTATCCATCTTCCGAAGAAAAAGATGAATCCATTGGTTCAAAACTGAACCAGGAAAATCCGGAAGAAACCTCTAACCCTTCTGGTACTATAAAAAACGCCAACATAAATGCAAACAACGATAAAAGCAGTGGATATATTACCAAGCATCTGGACAATATCGCATCGCTTACAACTCAAAACCGTTCCGACACAACTGGAGACGATTTAAATTCATCTAAAAAATGGACTAAAATGTTGCATACCGCAAGTAAATTCGATCAAAAAAAGAGGGAAAACGAAACTACTGGATCAGATTCAAAGTATAATGCGTTGAATATTCAATCAGGGAAACTCACTAAGCAACCACAGCTGGAACCAGATCCGGAGGTATTCTTGCAAACGGAAAATGATTTAATTAGTACTGAAGGACCTTTAACAACTGCGGTTAGTTCAGATCTTTTCAAAGTGGATGGACAAGCCGAAAAAAATGAAACTGACTTGGTGGATAGCCAAGAAAATGGTAGTGAAGCAACAGAAGCAAGCGAACATATTGACGATGATCGTAATTGCACTACTACGGAATTACCTTCAGGATTAGAGACAAACGTATTTACAGACCATCAGCCTGAAAAAGATAAGGAGCAAAATGTCGAAGGAGAAGAAAGTGGTCGTTTTCTCGGCGCCCATCTAAGCCACAAACTAGAGTCTGAATCAGCAGAAGAAGTTGATACAGCAGAAAATTTTGAGAATCATTCAACTACAGATAAAGCCAAAGAATCATTTACTGAGAACATACTGGGCGCTGCAAGGAGCAGCGAAACAAACGATAGATCCAGCGAAGAAAGTGATGAAAGTCACACGAATTATAATTCAAAACCCATTTTGCCGGAACCATCCACGTCCACTGGATTACCACCACCCTTAAGAAAGGAAGATAAAGAAAATCAAACTGTAAGTATTTTTGTACATCAGCTTAATATGGGTTGTATGCTGGTTTAACTTGAGTTATTATTTCAACAAGTAATACAAATAAAATAAGAAGATTTAGCGGAGGTTTTAAAAAATTCTGTAACTGTCTATCTACGTCGAGGAAAGTTCTAGAATTGTATTTATGTGTTATACAATTTTTCTATTGAGAATTCTGATGCCATTCATTTGCGATTAGTATTTATTAAACAGTTTCTATCAGGATAAATTGTGTTTGCTACGCTACTTAGAAATAGCAAGTAAAAGACAAAAGCTTTTTAAATTAAAATTTAAAAATTAAAATTAAAATATTAAACCAAGACATTGAAATTAATTAAAAATAAAAATAAAACTCATTTACAAGAAAAAGGGGAAAACACTGAGCTAAATATTTTGCTCAATCTTAAGCGGCCTTATTATGAATTACTAGCCAATTAACCAGAAATTTAAAAAACTCTCAAAAGCCACTCAATACTTTGTTACTACTGTTCATAAATATCATAGTAGCATCGATAAAAATAAAACCCAAGTTTTTAAAACATTTTAATAAAAAACAAGATGTGGTCGTAGGTTATATGAATTAAAATATAATTTTTTCGAATCTTAAAATGCAAAATTCAAGAATTTGGGAAGCATCATCAGCAAAATTGGCTCTCTTGCAAGAACTTTCATATTCAACTTGTTTTTCAAGAATTACTATTGAAGCGACTGAATATTTTATAAAAATGAGATTAAACACCAAATACAGTGAGCCTGGTTTCAGTTGTCACCACTCGATGAAATAGAAGAAATCCAATTCAGTATACCCGACACAACTATAGAACCAACAGATGAGCCAACAACTGATAAGCCATGGACAAATACCGGACTAAAAGCGGAGGCCACAAGTCGATCCGATCCTGGAATAATAAATGATTTCCTTGAAACTGAAGTAAAACCAGACTTTTCGTAGTTTTCAGAACCTTAATAATGTTTTTTTTTCAGAATTCCAACCCACCAGTGCTCAAAACTCATTCAAGCGTACCTACCCTGAACGACCCGATCGATGTCAATCCGTTCGAAAGTATTGAAGCTGAAATGGAGACTCTGACTGATGCAGAGAAAGATTTGTTTATCAAACAAGAGGTGAAGTTAATATCCGAAATTATTGCTGAAACAATGAAGAACAAAACCAATTGGGCTAACAAGGGCCATTCTACCAATCCGGGTAAGTTAACTGTTTTATGGTTGTTCTGTTTCTCATGTTGTTGATCTAAGGTTTAGCCGCACTCGACAAAACTAGTGCAGAAGAGCATGTTTCTTCGCCGAATCTGTTCCAATCTTTTGGTGAAAAATCATCCAGTTTTGAACGATTTCGCCCGGAATATAACAGGCATGCCAGATCAACGTCAGAGGCTAATGAAGCCTTTGATGTTATTGTAGGAGCTCAGAAGGAGAAGCTGGACAGCATCGAAAAAGACGCTACTGGCGATGATGACTTATTAATGATAAGTAAGGAATCGCATAAGTTAAACTAATATTAAAACTTACTGACTTACTTAACTGACAAAAATAATATTCGGCGGGTTGGTAGTAGTTAACAGCAAAGAAACGTGGACTGTGACTTTACAGGACTCAACATAATCAATCGTATTTATATTAGTATAAGTTTTGTATATGAGAGCAAATATATGAAAATAATTAAATGTGAAATGTTTTCGAGCCGTTTATGCGCTGTCTATATAACTGTTGGAAATTGCATTGATGTGAACTGAACGCGTTGAATTCATCTGTTGAAAGACTTTTCAAGATATTTTTTGCCAATAGCATTTTACGAGACCCAAACCACTTATTTCACAATGAAAAATGATAGTGAATTAAGTCAATTAATTAAAAATGTATCAATGATTTAATGAAAGTATTCGGTGAAAACGCGATCTGGAGCCTAACAGCCTAACACTTTTGTTGGCATCTAAGTGTAGGTAAACAAGCTTAAAGGTAACGTCGTAAAGAAGTTTTAAATACCCTTAATTATAAGGTAAGTTGGTACTGCTGAGCACGCCAAACTTATACCTTATCGTATTGTAATTTTAGGTTTCATTGGAAATGGTATCATTGAGGACTTAGAGAATAGAAGAAGCGAAGCTGATCACGATTTTACCACACCCAGAAGCGCAAAAATGTCCATCTGGAAAAGATCCAAAAGGGCCCTTGCAGGTATGGAGTTTAACCATCCATTCACAGAATTAATCAATGATCCAAGCAAAAAAATCGATATTTCAAAAACGATGGACAACGTGGGAGCCATTGTTAAGCAGAGTTTCGAAAGCCCAGAGTAAGTTCACAAAAACCAATATTTGAGAAAATTAGTTTTTAATGAACGGGTTTACTAAATTATGAAATGGAAATTTGTTACCAATAATTTTTTTAAACTGTGAAATTTTATAGTAAAAACCCGATGACAAAAAAATCTATAACGCATACTCGAAAGCCGCGCGGAAGTTTTTCTAAAACAACGCTCTTGCTCCAGAAAAGCTGAATGTAAGATGGACCATTTTAATATGCATCCAACAATTACTCTGTTTTTCGATTTAAAAACTTGCATAATAAAGGAAATACTATCGAATAAAATATCAACTCCTAGAATAAAATTGATGTACTTTGAAATTCCGTTTACTGGAATTTCGAAAATTTGAAGCTCACGTGGTCACAAATTCACAAAAAAACAGAAGATGAAAAATAAATAAAATCCAAAATGATTTACACTTAACGATGCCAAAAAAAATTACAGTGGGCAGAGAAGTAACAAAGCATCATAATAATTCTTTTAGTAAGGCACAATTTATTTCGAAAAAGTTGCTATATAAAATAACCGAATTTCTTATGTTTTCAAAATACACAAAGAAAAACACACAAAGTAAAGGAATGGAAGGAAAATCCTGAAGGAATGCATGCATAATTTTGTAACATAATACAAAAGTTGATTAAGAATGAAGTAACAAAAAAGCATCAGTAAATACAGACAATGAAATAATTCATAATGAAAAAAGTAAATATCTATGACAGTTTTTCTAACTTTAGCGCAATAAGATACGACAATGTAAATTTGTACGTGATAATTACAGTTTCTAAGGTTTTACTATTAAACTAGGAATGATCTTTTTTTCTATTGTTACACATTTTTACTTATATATACCGATGTTAACTAACCGTTAGAACTTAATCATGCAAAAATAACTTTACGAAACGTAGACAGTTAAAATAACAAAATAAATTTCAGAATAAAAGAGTTCAAAGTAAACTAGAAATTAATTGAAAGTGTTTCACTTCCAGAGCTCCACTGTATCATGTGAGAAATATGCTGGGCAACACAAAAAACTCCATACTGTCTGCAGCAAAAATTCCCCCAAACAATATTCTGGTGCCCTCCAATTACGAAATAACACCTCTAGCTAAAGATAATGACGATAATCAACGACTTGGAGATATCAATCAGAAAATGTTGTATTCACGAAGCGGAATAAGCGATGTGGGAAGAGAAGCAGAGAAATTACCAAGCGATGACTCTTTTGGCATCCTGGGCACTTTTCAGAAGATCGGTGGTATTGTAAAGGAGAGTGTCGATAACGGGAAGAAAGTGGCGTTGCACGCAAATGATGCTGCAACTGATGCAAAGTAAGGCGTGGTGTTTGATTTATTGAAGCATTTGAAGAAGAGGGAAAATAACTTATTTTAGAAATGCTGTTTATGCGGCAAAGAATTCGGTGCCTCGGATTATTCTACCCGGCCAAAGCCCCTTGATAGTCTCGAGAACGTCTTTGGCTGATTCAATCCCGATCGTTAATAAACCAGTACTTCTAGCTCCGCGACTTCTAGATGTGCATGAAGATTCCCTTCCAACAGAAGAACAACTGCCAAAAGATTTTGTTGGAATGGGAGATATATTGGGTAGGCAGTAATCAATGAGGTTTGCAGAAAGTTTAATATAAATAATCCTTAATAATTTCAGATGCTGTTGGCTTGAGTAAACCGGAGCAACAGGAAATAGAATTACAGCAAATTCCGCTAAAACCGACAGTTGCTAGAAAGCTGAACCAATGGAGTCTATCAAGTCCTAGAGTTGGAGCAACCAATGTTTTGGTATGTGAAAATTTCCTCAAAACCAGAAGCTTCAGACGCTACAAACAGTATTTTATAGGAAATGGAAGAAGATAGTGAGGAAAATGCCATACAACATTTAAACTCGTTACGTGAAGCTGAGGATTCAGTCGGAGCCAAAACTTTTAAAGAATTCTTCAGCAGGATGAGGGAGGAAATGAAAGAAATAGTATCAAGCCGACAAGAAATGAGGAAAAATAGAAGAAAGCAAAAGGAAAAAAACAAGTTGAAAAAAAAATTTACAACCAAAAAACCACCCACTATTAAAGGTACGTAGAATCCTAATTTGTTAAACTTCACTTGTATATAGAATTTTCGATATGGATCTCAAGGCAACGTCGTTGTGACGACGTTGATTATTTCATCACACTTATCAAAACAATGCGAAAAGTTCATATAAACTTGTGTTTTTTAATGTAGCTTATAGATTTAAAAAAGTCCGCCAATTCTTCAACAATTGACTAAGTAAAAAAGCGCTTTTGTTCCATCGGTCTCAAAATCTTTTACAACTCCATTCATGCTCTGCTCCGCTATCACTAGTTTATAACATCTAATTTTATACTTTAGCACAACAATGCTCCTGAATAGAATTTGAAATAAAAATTGGTCGGTTGCAGGAAAAAGTAACCATTATAGATTTTCAATTCTGGTCCAAAACAAGCAAAAACTCAAAAGTTTCTATTTTTATATTTAGAAAATTATTTTTCCAATGACACGTTAACAGCATAGCCATACTGTTAAATGGCAATTTAACAAATGACAAAAGCAAAAAATCGCCAAAAAATCCCATAAGTCGGTTAGTGTCCTCAACTTTTTTATCGGTTTTCAGATTCAGACCGGCTAAACAAATTGGCGGAAGTGACAAAAAACCGAGAGTTGAAAAAGATCCAAGAACAGAAACGAAGTGAGGGACAAAGAAAAAATCAAAAGCAAAAAAGGATGGAAAACCATACCAAAATTGAAGAGAGTGATATAATTAAAGAACAAAAAACAAAGACACAAAATGATAATCTGGAACAAATTGAAGAACCGGAATTAACAGAAGAAGAAAAGAGAAAGCAAGAACAGAAATTAGCAGAAGCATGGCAAAAAATTCAAGAATGGATGGAGACGAAGCAAGAAAATGCTGAAACTCACAATGATAAATTTGACTATAAAACTGAAGCAAAAACTCAGGCTACTACTTTACCACCAGAAATAATGAAAATATTTACTGATAACAAACCAGTTGTCCCTGAAGCAAAACATATTGAGAACTTAAAATCGAACACAAAGTCTTCTGTTGAAATGAACCAAAATTCGAGCATAAAAACCATCAAAGCTCAGCAGAATTTTCCCAATGTGAATGCAGCACAGCCTGGGAACATTGAGCTAATAAAATCCGAAGCTTTAATGAAAAATACTGATAATGAAACCGTTGGTTTATTTCTTCAGCCACAGCTAATGAAACCGTTTATGGGCGAACCGTCCAAAAATATGTTTCAATCATTTATGAGAGAAAATGGTGATCCTATTTCGACCGAGCAACGTGGAAACTTATTCAGTGACAACCATTTAGAGAAGAAGTCCCGATTTGGCCAGAATGAAGGTACCTAATTTCTATTCATTACGAAGAAACAGTTTGTTGCGGTTTTAGGTTTATAGTTTTATTGTTTGATATTTATGTGACAAGTTTGAATATTTTTTTACAGATTATGGCTCAAATATGAACCAGCACATTCAGCCACTGGATGTTATAGTTCGTAAAGAAGATTCAGACCTTGCGGTTGGAGCAATAAACTCTTTGGAGTTAGAAAATTTGCGTACAAGCGATTATAAAGAAAATACAGGTAAAAACATGTCCAAAATATAATTAATATTCGGTATGTCTTTGTTACATTACTCTTTTAAGCCAGTATTCTCAGTTATACATATTATATACTTATGACCACAGCAGCAAAAATCAGACCCAGATCTACTAATTGTCTATGAATGTTCTTATTCCATTTTAAGCCAGTTGGATATTTCAGGTGAAAGTAAAGAAGTGAAACAAGATACACTGGATTCCTATACTGAAGCATCCTCATTGGATTCTTCGGAACGTAAAAGCATGATAATTAATGACAGATTTCAAATACCGTTCTTAGGGGCTTTAGATGACGATAAAGTTCATGAAGTTTTGGATCGATATAATACACGTCCTATGAAACTTGAGCATTTAGATAGTAAGAAATATTTGTATGCGCCTGTGAAGAGCTTTATGTTCTCGGAAGAGGAAGATTACAATGGATATATTTGAATAAACATATTTTTAAATCCACAATATGTCAAGTTTTATTTTTAATTTAAACTAGGTAAGCTTAATTTTTATGCTCATATGGAAATTGACTAAAATACCACAATATCCATATACTGGAAGATTTTAGCTTCATCCCCTGGGCACTGAAAACAATAAAATAATAAAAATACGTTTGATTCCTCGTGTATATGTATAAACCTACCTATATTTTAGAAGTTCAATAAGCAGTTTACTCTAAAACACGCGTAAAACACACACATTAAATTAAAAACGTCCGTATTTCCATTGACTATCGGCCCGAATGACTCATTTTTTAGATATTGGGCGAAGTGCATTCTCTATTAAACCTACATGTATCAATGTATACGCTCCTTTTTTAAATATGAGACTATGGACACTAAGAAGTCTTCAATCTCGCAAGTTTTGCTGTATTTTCAGCCTGTTTCATTGTGGGCATGTCAATCATGTTGCCTTTATATGTGAAAGCACCCTACAATAGAATATTACTCATGTTCAACTTAAAAATAGCTTTTATAAACTTTTCTCTGCAAGTTATTGTCAGGCAATAAACATAAGCGGATGTGAGAATAAAAGCGCCTATAGTTTCGTATTCTTGTTCCTTTTACCACTTGCAGTAAACGCAATAGATGATTAGGGCATACGTAATTTGAAATTAAAAACAAATAGAAGATCTGAAGATGCACAACTTATCAATTTGTAATAAGTGAACTATGTATATATATATCCATTCTGATACATATATTTAAATTTTGAGGATATGTTAAGAGTCCAATAAAATCGTTATTTAATTATTACAAAATTGATCTAAATATAGTACTTTCAGTCAATTAAAAAAAAAATTCTGCTAAGAATATCTATTTTTATTTCAAAAATTTCAGTTATATTTAAAAGGGAACCTTATAAATAGCAGCTAGTTTAGAAGCAAATCGCTCTTATCCTGCTCTTGCAAAGTCGATTTGAGCATTTGAGATTGTTCCTTTTAGACGATGATATCAGAAGTTTCTAAAACGGCAATATTTTCTTGTTTTTATAATTATAATTTTTTTATTAACTTATTAAAGGACCTGCGTTAAATAACATTTTTTATAATTGAGTTGATTTTTACTACTGACAAGTAAAGAACGTTTAAACATAATCTGGGCCTTGAAGAAGACCCCAGTAAAGGTCGAAACGTCGACCAATAATTAAGTAGTGACGTTTTCATCATTGTCCCACACCTGCTACCTTCAACGTAATTTTCCAATTGGGATGCAAAAAAGTGAAACAAAATTGTTACTTAAATTATGAGTTAACAAAATTAAGTGGCCTTTTTTTTTAGTTGTTGGGTCAAAGTGGGAAAATATAAAAAAGGTTGATGACCCTTTTTTTAGATGTAAAAATTCCAGTTTCGGGTCTCGTAAAGCTTTAATCCACTTAATAAATGAATTAAAACTCATCGGTTAATGAGTTAGAACTCATCAATTTACTATGAAAGTTGTTTAGTACGAAAATTACCTTTCCTTGCTTCTGGTGCTCCTCAAAAGACTTCAGTAGTCCAAGCGCCCATTCAATTTGACTAGGAGAAGGAAGAAACGCGTCTTGTACAACTGAGACTTGACCTGGATGAATGACTTGTTTTCCTGTGTATCCCATTCTCATTCCTTGTTGGCATTGCATTTTTAATCCTTCCAAATCTGGAGCAAATAATCAATATCCACTGATATTAAAAATTCGAATCGTTCATACCTTTATACTTAATGTAAACCATGTCTATGGCCTGCAAGTGGAAGGCTTTAGCTACTAAGACCAACTTTTGCCTGGCATATAAAACTTCATTTGCATCCTCAGTTCTAGTGATTCCTATTGAATAAAAAGAGTTTTAAAATGTAGTTTTACGAAGAATTCTAGAAGAAGTCTTGCCTATGTTTGCACAAAAATCGTCGCTTCCAAATACCAAACAGACTGGCCTAAAATTTCCAGTTTTTGAGAGGGATTCAGTAGTTTTACAAATATCTACAAGATTAATAAATGCCTTGGCCGACTCAATGTAAATGATCAGATTTAGTATTTGGTTCGTTGCTATGTACTTGCCCAGCTCATCTGAAAACTACACAAAGCCACGTCAATGTATAAATTTACAATGAATAAAAATCAGCAAGATGGTTTCAACCTACAAGTCTAACTGTTTCGTCTGTTTCAATTTTTGGTACTAAAATAGTATCTGGCAGAAATTTCGCGGTAAGGCAGGCCTTCAAATCTTCTTGCCAATAAGGCGTTTCCAAACTGTTAATTCGAACGCCAAGATCGTAATCTCGAGAAAGTGTTGGTTTGCCTTTATCTAAGAAAGACCTGATTGTTTCACGAGCATTTTCCTAAAATCCAAATTAAAGACACTATTTAGCCACTTTATGTTTAGAAATATTTTCCACTTTTTAACTGGAACTACCACATTTTAGCTCACTCGAACTTTAACATATTTAAAGTTTAAAGAACGAGAAAGCACGGTAAGTCCAAGTTTAAAGCAGCTTTTCTGCTTACTTTCCTATTAATGGCAACACCATCTTCGCAATCCAAAGCAATGCAATCAGCATCTAACGTAAACGATTTGGATATTTTTTTGGGATCGTCTCCTGGTACGTATAGCAGTGCCCTCCTAGGGATGTTATAATTTCTGCCTGAAATCTTAAGAAAAAATACCAACCAGCACCGAAAATGATTTGAAAAAAGTCACCATCAATTGAAGGTACATTTTTCTACTACTCGCGCCTCTAACATTTGTATTAAGTAATTGAAAATTGTTACGTCCTATTGAACGCTTATGTTTTCATAGCGTGTAGATTGTAATCCTTCATTTTTAATACCATTTTTGTCCCCTTTTATAAATGTCCAATGTTGTTAAATGTCGATTTTTACTTACTTATTAAATAACAACAATTTAATTAAATTTGTTTTTATAATGGAATGATATTCTTCATTTATTCAAGAAGCTTAAATATTATTCCACCTAAATTATTTACTTTATATTCTATTAATTACTATTTACATACATTTAGCAAGATAACATATGCGTTTTTTAAAGAAAAGTTTGGTTTAATCGCTAAATGATCACATCTTCTAAATAAATGTAAAAAAATAGATTAAATTACAAATTACACTTCAAAGTTATCACGAAGGATGCAAGGAATTGAAGTTAAATTATTTAATTTTAAAACAGCAGAACACGTAAGTGATTTTTTGTCAAAATTATTGATAATGTGGATCTGCAAGTTTTCCTAGGAAATTATTACACCAATTGAAAACGAACAATCTGTTTTCACAAGTTTAAAAAACTAGCATTGATAGTCAGCCAAAGAACGGTATAATTTATTTCTAAAAATACAGGTTTACTTTAAATCCAAGAATGAACTAAAAATTATAATATATCAAATTTATAAAACATTAATATAAATAATTAATTGAAAATATTAATTAATTTATTTAAAGTCGGGAATGAGAAGGGAGGCAATTTGGCAACATACTGCGACCATTGTGTGATCAGAATATTTATTTATTCCCAGTTTAAAAACAATGAGAAACTTCCAAGAGGAAACAGTCCTACAAAGTGGTTGTATGTGTAACTTTAAAGTAATCAGTTGTATTAACACAGTGGGCTAAATAAGTGAATAATATAAAATCCGAACACTGAATTCTACTGATATATAAAGCTAACCTTTTTCTAACAAACATTCTATAAATAATTATAAATAACAAATTTAAGATTTACCTTAGCTAGCGAAACTATCTGCTGAAAGAGCCTTTGTCGAATTATAGAATTCATCTAGAAAATATGAGTAAATAAAGTGATTGTATGATAATAATGAGGTTTTGATTTTGTTATTGTAGATTCTGACAACTTACAGATAAGCAGTGACTTTAGAAAAGAACAAACCAACTTTGCTTTTTCAAAAATTCAGAATAATTGGAATATATTTTCTACTTAAGTTTGTCTTCTGTTTGAAGACTGAGCCAGACTGCGTCTTTGCCGATTCTTTTTCGGAACGATTTTCTCATCTCTGATGTTGGTTACACTTCTTGCATGGTAAATGCAGACTGTCTCTGGGTCTCAAATTTCCGTTCAAATTCAAAATTTGCGAAAGTTTTGATGCTTTTTTTAAATTTAAACTGAGCATTTTTATGCAATTTTTAATTACAATTGTTTTATCTTGATATCGAGGTTCAATTAATCAGTTGGAAAGCATAAGTAATTTTCGTATAAATTCATACGTTTTTAAGGCATAATTAAACTCATCAATCCGCTAAAACAAGTTGTTTCAAATAATCGGTTTAACTTTGAAATTGATTTTAGATAGTTTAAAAAGATGTTAATTCTGAGTTTATTACTAGAATCCAATTTACTTGCTTGATTGTATACTCTACATTAAAATTTTTCAGACATGGAAAATATCCGCAGTTTCAGAATCAGGAAATATGGACAACCCTTTGCATTATTATGTTTTTATTTTCTTATTTACAGTGTACAAAAACTTAAAAATCTAGAAACAACTAAAAATATCGATCACATTGTGCAACCACTGCAGGACAATACAGTTTGGCGAAATTCAGGTATGGTACATTTTCATAATGTAATGAAATATTGGTGTCGGTGCTAAACTTGTTCCATACATGAATTAAATAACTATCAGCTGTTTGTTTCTTAACAAAATCGAGAAATTCTTCCTGGAAAAAGTACTTCCAGTTCCACCACGGAATACTGTAGAATCGATTTGGTGGGTAGATTTTGAAACCTTTACAGGTTTTGTTGACTAGTTTTGGAATGTTGTTTTCTTCGCATAAACGCTTGATGAGCCTGAAATTGTAAGCCGATTTAGAATGACCAACATTTTTTCACACTTCACTCCAGATGTAAATACATTTTTCTTTCATTCCTTCTCACCTGGTGACTGTTCCTGGCCCATTCCAGCCCCAATCATGGCCTTTGAAATTGTTTTTGAGATCTTCCAAACAGGAGTTAGCAAAATCGTGCCCGTCTCCAGTGTAGTTAAAGCTCAAAATGCCAGCAGCCACTGATGTTTTTGATTCAAATCCGGTAAAATCAGTGCCTAAATCATCAAGACTCTTTGTGACTATCACGTCCAGGTCCAGATAAATTCCTCCATATTTCCATAGTGTAAGAAATCTGAAAATTTTTCCATCATAAAGCGGATTTTTTTATTTCAACATACCTCAGTCAAAATTAAGTAAAAAAAATATGTTCCTACTACAAATATATAATTTCTTTAAAATTGTTTATATTTTGATGCCGACGAAATGCGCTTTCAATTAACATTATCAATACTTTTTTTCGTTTCAATTGGTTAGTTTTTAATCAAAAAGTACAAATTGAGACCTTTTAATATTCTGCAACTGATTTGCTTGTTTACATCAAAAGCTAATTTCATAATAAAAGTGTCTCTGATAAAAGGACTTCATCCGTTACATTATAAAAGTGTGCTAAAAGAAGTCGTTTTAATATTATTCAATGTGTTATTTTAGAAAAGTTTAATACAATTACAATTGCTCAATCAGAATTTGTTTATTGCGTTTGCTTCCACTTTAAGCAAGCAGTTTTGTGAGTTCAAAACGGAAATGAATAATTCAAGTACACTTCGTCACAATTTTCATTAGAAGTGGTCTTCCAAAATCATTCCAAAAATTGGACAAAGTGTACTTAAATTACCACAAAACGTTATATATTATTTATTTCAGTTTTAATCATTCATCAAAATTAGAGCAAAAATAAAAGGAGACATTTTTTTTATTTAAAAATTATAATCTAATGCAATGGAAACTAGGCAGCTGCTTCCAGTGGCGCGCAGTTAAATTTTTATTTGGCTAATAACACGCTTTTGCAGTGATATTCTATGATTCCCCAAAGGTTTGTTAAGTATTTCATGCCAAACTCAACTATCCTCACTAGTACTGAGGATATGTAGTTAGACTGTTAGTAAGCTCAACATTTTTCTATTGTGAAACTATTTTTAACGCTCTGTTTTACATTTAATTTGTGTTAAGGTACTTAAGGTTGTAAATCATGACCCAATGCAATATTTTTTTAGCATAATTAAAAATCCCTTAAATAAAAGACCCTTTAGTGGCCCAAAGCCATTATTTAAGGATGCAATTAGTAAAGCTGATTTAGAAAGGTCAGTTTGATGCAAACTTACTGACCCAGCCCTACACCAGAAAACCTACTTACTTATTTGTAGAATCCAGTTTAAATTAACTACATTTTCCAAATGAACAAAATGCTCACTAAGCCTCAACATATCCACTAATAATCAATCACTCAAAATAATGTAAAGTATAATATGATTGAAACCAATATTACCTACACAGATTTACCTAAGAACATCGCTCGTATGAGACTGAGCAAACCGCGACTGTTTCATTTGCTGCTGTTTCCAAAGAGATTCAACAGGCGTGTTCATAAAGTACCGGTCCATATCGATATGATAAATTCTCACATTGCGATACTTCAACAGTTCCATTAAAAATCTGTCGCTTTCTGTATCTTCCATTTTATATGTTCCTGGAGATGCGTATAGCAGATAAACATCATAATCTGGATTCATTCTGGCAGCGCTTTCGACTGCACAGGCTTGGCGTGCCGTTATGGTTATTTTTCCATTTCTAAATGAATTGCAGCTGGTTTCATGGAAAAATATCGATCTTCCTTCTTTGGGATACGTGTCGGAAATATCCTTTAGGGAGTTGGCTCGATCCGTTTTTATGTAATGACAAGAAACTCCTTTGTCAGGTTTTACCCAGTAATACAGATTCATCACGACGCCAGGAACAGGAATGCTGATAGTCAGAAACAATATAGTAATCAGACATGTTATCAACACGGCACTGAATAGTTGCTTTTTCCTTGAAAGTCGAAAATTCCGACTGAAGACCATTAAAGCCGTGATCTGAAGCAAAAAAATGATTTACAGGATACACTAAAACAGGAACATTACGAATTTTATTGTTTAAACATCTATGTAAACCAGCCATCATCAGTATCAAAGCTTCCTTTATTGTATGAGATTAGTTTAAATGTCCCGTTTTAAAAAAAATTGGCTTTCAAAGTTTTTAAATGCATCATCAATTTGAAAGGTTCAAATAGCATACTTTATTAGAGATGGATTTAATGGAAATAACACCAAAAAGTTGACGAAAATAGTAGATATCGGATAATATTAATTAGAGTTGGATTTGGGATTGAGATGATGATTGATTGAGCTAAACCTTTTGGTTAAGAGTACGGTGCTCGTGATTTTCAACACCATTAGATAGGTATAAAATGTTCAAATTCTAACTTTATACTTATTGTCTCATAATTTACTATCATATAAAGCTTTCGCACTTTGGGGCTTTGCCGCTGTCGAAATTGATTAGAGTGGAAAATATACAAAATAGATTCAACATCAAAGCAAAAAGTAAACAATTCAGTCACCTAAAGTTTTTGCCTAAACATCTTATGATTAATAACGAAATAATATAAATTTAGCAAATAAATTTTAAAAAATGATAAAAACGTGTTTGTTAAAAGGTTTTGCTATCATCATCATCGCAAGAGCAAAAATAAATGTTTAAAAATGTGTTAATAATTTAAGATTTATAAGTATTTTTTTCGTTTTCTTGAAATTCATTAATTAACCTCAAAATTTGTAGGCTAAAATATTTTCTTAATACTTACTAAATAATGACAGAATAAAAAGTATATAAGAAAATTACTATAATTTGTTCTAATATTTTCGCTAAAATTTTAAAATTAATTAAATCAAATTAAGTTAAACTACAATATTGAACTAAATAACTAAATATTTCAGAACCTTCCCTCGCACGTTCGTCTAAAACAAATATACTTTTTCACTTAAAATTTTCCGTTTTTTGCGATTATTTACCATATATATATTTTTGAAACAGAGGCGGCTAGACGCGTTAATTATCTTCAAAATTAATTACACCAAAATATTTTCTTAGTACTTATTAAAGAACGACAGCAATAAAAGGTAGTAAAAGTACTTTAATGTAATTACCTACTATAGTTTGTTCTAATAATGTTACTAGCATTTTAAAACTAATTGATCCAAATTAAACTAAACTAATTCCTTCAGAATCTTCGTTGCTCTAAGAACACAGATAGTTTTTCACTTAAAAATGATTTACGATTATTTCATATGTATTTTTGAAACAGAAGCGGGTAAAAGCATTAGTTATCCTCAAAATTAATTACACTAAAATATTTTCATTGTAGTAGTTCTAATATTGTTACTAAAACTTGAAAATAATTAAATCAAATTAAATTAAACTAAATAACTGAATCCTTCAGAAGCTTTCTTCCTCTACAACAAAGAAAATAAATTTACACTTAAAATTTTCAATATTTCCTATTATTTTCATTTACTTTTCATATTATACATAACATTATCTTCATTTTCTAGCCTACCAGCCACTTAAAGGTAGGTTTATCCCAGAATAATGATTACGAAAATAGTAAGCTAACATAAACCATAATTTGTATGTCTATCTATTATTCACTTATCTACTATACAGTCACATTTAAATCCATTATTCACTTACATCTGGTTTCGCTGATCTGTAGATTTTTGGTGCACATTCCCTCATTGTTTCGCTATTGTTATTTGGAATCGAAGGAATTTTTTTTAAAATGGACAGTAAAAACAACCATTTAACAATCCCCTTTTGTGTCTATCATCAGTATCTTATTTATATCCATAAAATTTTAAGAAAACTTAACCATTAGAAACAGTAGCAAAACTAGCAACTGAACGGTGCAGAAATCGATATTTAAGCGCTGACATGTGAGTTGCGCAGAATTTCTTAGGCTTTTTCGAATATTTGCGAGGGTTTCTAATATGAATAGGGGTGAATCAACTCACTACTCTATGGCTATTAAGCCGCCCATTTTTATTGTTTTGTTGTTTAAGAGCTAAATATCGGTTTCAAAAGTTTTCAAATAGGAAAAAAGAGTAATTGTTAGGAATATCAATGTCTGCCCTATTAAAAATGTGCTGATCTCATAGATCACATCTTTATTAACAACTTTTATTAGTGGTGTTTTTAGCGGATATGTTTGCGACCGTTTTTCACGCATTGAAATTCACTACTTTTCCATAAGAAAACAAAGGACGCAATCATAGTTCGCAGTATGTCTGCACGGGAAAAATTCAATAGATACATTTTTACACCATATTGCTAAATGTCCACCAAAGTAGCGAATTTCTAAAGAATTTCCATTTTGTATGCAGCTCGCGACTTAACATTATTAAAATTTCAAAAATCATTTAACCGTAACGTAACGAAAATAATCGAAAATAGTCCGAATACCTACAAAATGTGTCCGACAAGAAATCAAGTACAAACCAAATGTAGAATTGGCAAATACGCAAAATTTTTCGGCCTGTGTCACAGGGACCACGGTTTGACCGACCGCGGGGTCATTATAGCGGCCTTTTGATGAATTTAAATGAGTGTAAAGTGGTCGAAATCTAAACGAGTAATTTCCTCTAAAAACTCCACTAAAAAGAAATAAAAAAGAATGATTTATAAAGTGGTAACACTTTTAGCAAAGCGAAGTCATTGAGAACATTGACAAGTTTAAAAACACAGTATTAGTTTAAACCTATGATTCAATTAGTTTAACAGTGTAGAACCAATTATTCATATTTCAGAGATGTTTCCGATCGGTTGCTAGTCAACATAAATTTAAGATTTAAATATTTATCGAATAATCGATTTTAAATAATTTCAGATATAGTAAGATTATAAGAACTATATGACCAATTGTTGACGTTAGTTGATTTTTGCCACCATCCAAGGAAAAGTAACAATAAGTAAAATTCCAAAAAATTAAAATAAATAAATAAAAAAATCTTCCGAAGTCATTAAACACGCGTCTAAATGGTGTAAATGAGAATTGTGCCACACAGTTCGGCAACATCCAATTGATTATTACAAATCAAATAGCTAAATACATTGATTTAATCTAACTTTGAAGTGGATTCTTTAAGTGTTTGAGAATCCAAGATTGGTACAGACTATTTACGTAAAAACTGTACTTGTGAATGTGTGTGTTAAAAACAATTTATGAGAATGAAACTGTTAAGTTCGAGAGGAAAACTCTACTACTGATAAAACCAGTTTCACAAAAATATTACAGATAAGTAAACGTTAAATTTTATTTAAATATTATTTAATTTTAAATTTTATGTTGTCCGGTTTAAAAGGCTATTTTTGCAGACGGAAATGTTTAAAACATTTATGAACAAAACTAAAAGTGAATAGAAATAAAGCTTTCCGCGAAAGAACCAGGCGAAATTTTTACTATTGGTAGTTTAACAAAAGCGCTCGGTTGGCTCAAAGCACACAAATTCATGCAGGAACTTTCAGTGGCAAAACGGATGAGTATTGTGAGGAGTTGATAAATTATTCTTAAAAAATCTGATATTAATATGAAAATGTTGTTTGATGAAAATGAAAAATAATTTGAAATATCTTTGATTAGAAAATGGACAGTCAATTGAAGGCTATTTGTATATTTACTCATTTCAATCAATCACATGGTGTTAAAAAAAATCTATTAGAATCTACCCTCCAATGAGTAAAACGTATAAAACATAGAAGAAATGTTCAGTTAAATGCTGATATTCTGTTGGCGACCACAAAAGTTAAACTGAAGTAAATTGTTCAAATTAATAAAATATTCAGAAGCAATTGATTGATGATGATGATAAATCTATTTATATATCGTTTATTTGTATGTACGACACTAACTACACATAATACCTAATTTAAATCTCTTGAGTCATGGTAAAGTAATCACAACCAATTTCGAACCCCACTAAACCAATTAGGAATAGGCCTTTTACACAAGTGTTGTTCTCGAAAGAGATCCAATAATGGCAATAAAAATGTTTTTATTGAAGTGTCGTTATTTTACAGTTGTTGGGAATTTAGTCGATTGGTTCATGAAAAACAACTTCTGAACAAAAATCAATTAATTTCGACGTGTAATTAAAATTAATTGTAAAAAAATGTAATAAAATTTTAAACACAAAAGCAAAAATTTAAAATGACCCTCTAAATGACCATAAAAGTTTTCTTGATCAGCAGTAATTCGAACGGAAAATGTAGTTTCTAGCTCCAAAATAAGCCAAACAAAGAACGGGGCTGATGCCTAAATTAGTTAAGTGCTGTTGGTTAGCACGTTCAATTACTTATACTGTGAGTCCCATAAGTAATGTTTACATTCGTTTAAAATTTCGCGGACTTTTGTTTGGTAAAATTTGTAAATGCAATTTTTGTGTATCAATATTATTTATTTATACAGAGGGATCCAAGAAGACGTTACGACCATCAACTATTTTTTTTCAAATGGAAGTAAATACATTCTTTTTATTTCAATTTTCAATGATTCAGGTAACATGTGCTATAGTACCTAAACAGAACAGTTTGTGGGAGATTTACGATTGAACCTATCAATAATTAATAGGACCGATTTATTTCAAATTTATCTAGTCCTGAAAAGAACCGATTTATTTTAAGAAACAGAACAATGAAAATAAATATTCAAAAAGTGTGCTATTTAGGGCTTGACGATATCCAAGGCGATCAATAAACTCTTCTTGCATCTTGTTTAACTCGCAAATTCCTCAGGTCCTGCTGATTTTAAGTATATGACATGGTACCTGAATCATACGAACTTTGAATTCAAGGGATAATTCAAAATTCAAATATAAAGCAAGTGTTCCATTTGAAAAAAAAATATTGACGGTCGTAACTTATTATTTTATCACCGCTAGATAAGTAATTTTGCTGTACAAAAATCACATTTACCAATAAAAATTGTGCAAAAATTTCTAAAAATCAGGCGGCTAAATTTTAAAGGAATTGAGACATGCCGAAAGTCAAATATTCGAGAATGTATACAGATTGAAATACATATCTAACTTGAATCTGTAAACATATCTCATTATTGTGTAACTTTTGCGTAACCAACTTAGTTTAATTTTCTTTGCTACGTCCTGGCAAAAAACCATTCTGTATATTCATTGCGATAAACCAAACACGAATTGTGATAAAAAAGGCAAATATTGGCTACGTATATACTTATTTTATCTATCACATGCTCGAATAAATGAGGGGAGTTTCCGGGAGGATTTTTATGCTTTAAAATGCATAAAAACCGGAACTCTCAACACTTGAACTAGTAAATTTAGCATATTACCTTCCTAAATTATCTGCGCAAAGTATAAAGGCAAACTCTATAAACGGGGGAGACTTAACTTGAAGAAGGCAAACATTTCTCCTCATAAGGAAACTTGAATGAATAATGACTAATGTAATAAAACCTGACAATAGTGTCAAATATAAACGTCTTAAACTTATAAAATAGTGCAGTATTAATTTATTTTTAAGATTGGCGAGAACTTACCCTCGAACTGTTGCACGGCGCACTAATAACACGAATAATAAACGTAACTTCAACAGATAAGTAGGTACTCAAGCCAACTAAGGTTCCATATGGCTAAAAGTTCCAACCAGCCTTGAGCATGTTCGGAATATATGTGTTGTACTGAACTGATAAAAGCTGAGATCTAGGCCTGAAAATCAGCATTATCAGTGGCGGAAAGAAATCTGCAACAACAAAAATTCCATTTGGGTCGTTCTAGGATTCCAATTTAAGTCCTCAGATCAAAATTAACCGAATTTCAAGTTAAATAAAAAGTATTAAAATAAAATTCAGAGCTTGATTTTTTGTACACATTGAATAATCTGGTATTCAAAAGATTTTTCTGTGATATTTCTTAATGCCTATTCTTAATAATATAAGACTGACTGGACTTAATAATATGAGATAACAAAAACCACTTAAATAAAGGTATTGATATAGGTAAAATATGTCATGTTTAATATTGAATACTTAATTAATTCGTTCAATGCCTTAAGTTATAGTTGGTGTGGTAGGTTTTGATACTTTTCCTCTTTGCGTAGGTCCGATACTCCGAAACGGAAATATCGTCAATCGTTGTGTTATTTAAAATTTTAAGCAAATAAAGTTAAACAATTAATCAGCGACTTATCTTCTCAGCCAAGGTTCACTTGGTTTCAAATCTAGCATAACGGCGGCCGCAGCAGCAGTAGCATAGTAAACAAAACAATAAAAAATAAAAATGAAAATTACGCATTAAAACAACCACTACATTAATTCGTTTCTGAAATATTCGATATCAAAAACATTAACCGGTTATCAGCCGCCGCCCACCATGCTTGATGGTATCGACACAAGATCATATGCATATATAATCTTTATGCTGTGGTATCGATATATACGCAAATTACATAAATAAAAATATCCTTAATTCCTCAATTTAAAAATTAAAAATTAATTTAAAATTTAAAAAATTACCCAAGTGAGAAAAAGCCATTCTTATTAAAGATATTTGCCGCAGTTGAACAAAACATTGCGCAAAAACTGAAATGACTCCTATTTTCTTCCATTAAAAGACATCCACCATTTAATTTTTTTGCGTGTCCCAAAATGTAAGTTTCAATGTTTAACCGCTTTTGCAAAGTAAATCAATTTGGATTTTTTATAAATTGAATATTTACACATTCTCGTAAAACTTCTTGCTAATTTAGTTAATTTCGTCATACTTGATAGAAGGCAAAATTATGTGAATAACTATTCTCATTTCTGAAACTACAACCCAGGATGGGTCTTGGCTGACTTTACAATCTGTCTTCATCTATGGCGATCCATGGTTTCTTCTGCATCGTCGATATTTAAGGTTCTTAAATCTGATTTTGTCTTCCGAGTGGTCTTTTACCATCTGGATTCTCTTCCCACAGCAGTTTAATCAGTGGTTGCTCCTCTTGTCTTTTAACATGACCTGAGACCATGCCCTTATCTTTTCTCATTTCATTACTTTAATTATGTTTAGTTGGTTATACAACTGTTCCAGCTCTTTATTTGCTCTGATGAGGTATTGTTGTGATGTGTCGTCTTTGCTGATACATATATCCCCTTCAGTATTTTTCCTTCTAAAATTTTGAGCCGTTTTTCGTCTTGTTTTGTTAGTGTTGTCATAATGGGTCTTACAATTGTTGTGTAGATCTAAATCTTCGTGTATTGGGGTATGTTTTTGGGTTTTATTACATTCCGTAGGGCAAAATAGCAGCGATTAGCACTTTGCATACAGCATACTATTATTTGAGGTGATGTGGGTTCAAAATATTTAAATTCGTGAACTCTCAAAATTTGGCTGGTCTTTTGCTGCATTTTCGCCAATTCTGTTCCTTTGCTCTGTTCTTGTTATTGCCATGTATTTGGTTTTTCTTCATTAATTTTTAGTGCCGTCTGCTTGTTCACTTTTCTCACAGTTTTCCAGAGGTATCTTGACTTTAACAAGAGAATGGTTGCTATCTGCGCCTAGACCTCTTAGACCTCAAACAATAATTTAGTAAAGTGTGAAAAAATGGTGTTTTATTTTTAGAAAATTAAGTTTACAGTAAAAAATCAAAGTATGGACTTTTTCTGGATGTTTAAATCACTTTAGCCTTGTTTGTTGATTTGCCATCTAGTATGAAGATAAAAATTGATAGGCAAATCTTTTAAGATTGTTAGGCTTTTGACGATTTTGTCCCAAAACGGAAAATTGTACTAAAAAGCCTGGGACGTTAGTGAATTAAAAATTCTTGTAAGTTTTATTTCGATAAAATGAACCATTTCTCATACGATTCTCCTGATGCGCCCTATTCTAATATTTTATGTTATTAATACCAATCTCTCCATTCATACAATGTATGACTAAAACAGATGGAACGGCAATGAAGTTAATCAAATAAACTTAATAAATGGTCCGCCTTTCAAGCCATATTTACATAGTTTATAAGTCTTTCGATTATGCAAACTTTAGTTAAATTCCGAGAAATCGCAGATAATTATGGCATCCAAGTGGTGAATAGTTTCATAGAGATAAGATTAGACCCCTTTATGATTTAATTTATTATTTGATATTCAACACTTTCTAGAATAAAAAATCAGTGGCTTGAATTTCAATTTATTTTCATGCGTGGATATGATAAGGTATATTGTTTTCCAGCTTAGTATAGCCAGTTAATAGTTCCAATAAAAAACATACAGTTGTCTTCGCTTAATAAATATGCCCTAAAATAATTTTATACAATATTTGTTGTTACTCAATATTTTAGTTTATATCATATAAGTGGATATAAAACGAAATTTTGTTGGAAAATTGCATTCGTTTTATTTCATCGTTTCAGCAAGATCCTTAACAAATTCTGGAAATCCTCGAACTAAAACTGGGTGATGAGGTACTAGCTGAGCATCACACATTACACCCAATCGGATATGGTCTGCGTATTCGTTTATACAGAGAGATATACCTATAGAACAGAAAAAATGTAAATTATGTTATATATTAAATTAAATTGTTATATGAAATATATTTTTGCTAATGAAGAACGTTTCTCATACAATAAGCATTTTAATGTGTTTTATTACTGTTTCTTTGCTTTCGCGAATTTTTCATCGATAAAATTACTTAATACTGCACATTACGTGTTTTTCTGTTATTAATCATCAAATTGAATATAATTCTTCCGTTTGTGTCTTCATAAAGAATTTCACTTCTCGTAAAAAACACTGCACCCACATTAACCTTTCCGGCTATTTTCATAGAAATGATTTGTTTTAGTTTTGCTAAAATGGCTGTTTAATTAATTCAATACTAATGCTTGTATTGATTTTCATGTTCTCGCAATAAAATTAGTTTTTGTATGTGAATTATTTTTGTTTGAAGCATTTTTTCCCATTAAACCCTTGGATTCAAGTTTCACGCTGTATAATACTAAAATCAAAACTAAATAAAGAAGCTGAGTCATTTTCCTTAACTTTGCGTCAAAATAAACTAACAGTGTTCACTTTTCTTACTTGTATTAGCTTGTGGTGGTCTCCAATAAATCGCACTAACGACTTCCTGTCCCCATAAAGTTCTTTGAGTAACATTTGGATATCGATTCGACACCTCCATAAATGTAACTATATACTTCCTCGACAAATACTTCAGATAAACGCTTAGAAACGTTGAAGGTAAAAACTTAGTTAGGATTCCAAACCGCGTCTGCAGCAGCGTGAGCAAATGTGAAAGTCCCTGTTGCTCAATAGAAGACCTGAATTTTTGTTCCAAAACTCTGAGATTGTCTAGTTGAGTTGCGTCTGATTGCGTATCTACAATTGGAAGATTGAGGCAAATCATACCGCTAACGGAATCTTCGGGTTTGATGTTTGGACCAGTGGCGAAAAGATATTGGGAACTGATGTTCCTCATGGTAACGGGCAATACGATTGGAATGTTTTCGTTGGTTTGTGCAAAGTACTTTGATATGCACATTGCACAAGCGGACAATGAAATTTCTGTTTCCGATACTCCAAGTTTCATGGCAGTGTTTTTTATCAGTTCCGTTTTAACGGGATCACTCCATGCTACAGCTTTACGGCCACATAACGTGATGGTCTGCAACGACTCTTCCTGAAGCAAAATCTCCTGGATGATTGTTCTTGGCGCCAGGAATAATATTTTCATCATATCCACTACCTCAAATAGAGAGTTGTAAATCAAGGGTACGTAGTAGTATAAAATCCCTACAATTGTATGCGTGTAGGGACAGTATTTGAGGGTCACACATGTATAGAGAGCGACTGATTCTGCATAAAGCGCTATAGGCAAACGGATTGGAATTGAAACGAATAAAAACCAAAACATGTGAAAACCCACATATAGACCATTTTTGGGGCTAAGAGAAGCTAAAATTGACCTAAAGAAATTCGCTAGAGAAACTTGCCTTTTGCTGGTTTCATTGCAATATGTTAAGACAAGGTATCTGAACTTGGAAAATATATCAGGTTTAATAACTCTGAAACCCCTACGACATTCTTTAATGATAGAGATGAGAGTTATGAAGCTAGTTGCTAGGAACTGCGTTATTGTCGGCGTATTTTTAAGAAGCTCTGGACACTCCAAGGGCTCGTACGTGCCGATAAACTCATTCCATGAATTTGAGACTTCATCAGCAACCTTCTCTTTGAGGGCTACAATTGCTTTCGGTTTTTTTAGCACATCGATTATGGGACTCTTGTGAGACACAGTTCTATAAAAGGTTTAGTTTCAGCACAAAATGTCAACGACTAGCTAAACAACGTACCCAAATTGTTTGGCGGGAGGAATCAAAGGTAAAAGATCACCCACATTTACTCCTTCACTAAGAAGTATGTGGTGAATCTTGAACAAGACATAGTGATTGTCTTCTGAAGTTGGGATAATAATCACCTGCCATGGGGATTGGTCAGCGGGCAGGTATTTGGACACAATTTCACTCACATATTCCTGAAAATTATTTTCGCATGATTTAATTGTACATGATAATGGATAATTTATTTTCATATAATTGTAAGGTATATTTAAAAAATCAGACCTAAATACTGATTTTGGTAATTCCGACTACAATGTTTCTTTTGGGCCAATGTTAATTCTGACTATAAGAATGATTGTTAAATCAATACTTGAATGCTTAAAGTAGACTTTTTTATTCGCTAGATAATTAACTATGATTTGTTATGGCCATTTGTATCTGCACTTAAACGTTCATGCATTTTTCGAAGGAATCGTAATTTCAAAAAACGGTGCCACTAGAATGTATAATTTCAAATGTTTATCAACTATATTTACAGTTACAAGTGTCTCATACAGTTTCTGATGTCTTGGAAGCTACATATACATTATTCATTTGAACAATAATTATTATTTACATAAATAAATCAGCTTACTTGTATATTGAATTCAGTAACAGCTCGTCCTTTATAAGTAAAGCTTGCCAGGCTTACATGTTGTTCCAAATCAAAATGTCCACGTTGCCATCCGTAAGTACCACATCTGGTGGTTAATCTTTGCTGCAGTCTTACAAATATTAAGTTTCCACACTTATCGCGTCTCCTTACTAGCTCCTGCGGAAAGCAGTGTAATTATACGATTTATTTGCGTTATTTCTATTTTGTTTTTGATAGATGCAGAATATATCCGAATGATATATGGAAAAGCTAAATTCTGAGCTTTACGGTTTGCAATTATTATGCTTCCAACAAAAGCTTATATTGTTAGAAATAAGAAGAAAATTGATGCCAAATTTTCTTCTTTCAATTTGACATCATTTACCTGCAAGTGCCTTTTAATCGCTTCAGGATTTTCTTTTCCTTTAATCGCCAACAGTACAGCAATAATTCCCTGATTTCTATGCGTGTCCAGAAGAATTCTAACTGTTGAGTAGTTGACAAATTCAACATCTGGATGAAGAAGGGATATGGAGCTGATCCAGATTGATTGAGATACTTTCACGACTGGAAATAGTTAAACCAATAATCAATAATTTCTGATTTTAGAATTGTAAGACGTAAGTAAATAACGAAACCAATAAATTCTAAACGACCACCAAAGTGGACATAGAAGCCGTGCAGATAAAGGTTGACATGTACAGT